TTGGATTCCAGGTTGGATTCCAGGTTGGATTCCAAGCTCCAGAGGCTGAGGAATTGGGCAGACCTAAGCAAGCCCAGCCTGGCCATTCCCTGTCAAACATTAACCTGGAGCTGGGAATGTTCAGCCTTTAGGGAGGGGGGGGAATTCTTTGCTCTGGGAAAAACTGGGAATTTTTCCCGGGAAATCCAGCCTTTCTCCCTAAAACCCCCGTGGTGCCATTGGATGCCAGGGCTTTTCCTGCCCTGGGGGGATATTATGGGCTGTGCCAGCCCCCTGGCCCTGCCCTGCCACCACCAAAGCCCTGCCCCTGCAGCCAAAACCTGGTTTGCTGCCCGTGTCCTTCCCAGAAGGTGACATTCCTGAATTTTTTTATCATTTTTTTTTCCAAAAGGACTTGGCAGGAAGGCTTTGGGATCAGTTAATAATTAACTGAACTAACAAGTCCCTCTGGGAAACCCGCAGTGACCCAGGGGCTGCTCCGTGCCCACCTCCTGCTTCAGGAGGTGCCAGGGATGTTGGGAATTCCTGCCCCGATGCTCCAGGTGTCCTGCACTTCAAATCCTCCTTTCTCTTCCCGCCATTCCCACTTTGGCAGAGCCTCTCTGAGGATAAATCCCTGTGGAAGAGGCCCAGGAACCAGCTGGAGGCTGGAAGAGCTTCCATGTCCTCCCTGAGGAATGTGGGAGCTGTGGGAGCAGTTTCCCCAAGGTGGTGTTTTTCCCTCTGGCTGGGTTTGGAGCTCCTGGCTGGCAAAAGCAGGAATTCTGCAGGTGTTCCATGCACTGCATCCTGGGAAGCTGGAATTCCAGAGTGTTCCATGGCTGCTAGCACAGAGGTGGCTACAGGAGTGAGGGAGGACTTGGGTAAGGAAAGAGGGACTTTGGACAAGGGCCTGGAGGGACAGGAAAAGGGGGAATGGCTTCCCGCTGCCAGAGGGCAAGGATAGGTGGGATGTTGGGAAGGAATTCCTGGCTGGGAGGGTGGGGAGGCCCTGGCTTAGGTTGCCCAGAGAAGCTGTGGCTGCCCCTGGATCCCTGGAAGTGTCCGAGGTCAAGTTGGAGCAACCTGGGATAGTGGGAGGTGTCCCTGGGGGTGGGACTGGATGAGCTTTAAGGTCCCTTCCCACTCCACCCATCCCAGGATTCTGTGAGTCTTTGGCTCCAGCACCATCTTCCCTGAAAACAAGGAGGGAAGAGCTCACACCCCCTGTGGAACCAGGTGCCCTTTACGGTCCCTTCCCACCCGATCCATCCCAGGATTCTGGGATTCTCCAGGAAGTTTCCAGGTACCACTTTCCCTGGAAACCACGGGAAGTCAACACCCCCCCCCCCCTTTGCATCTGTGGGAGCTTGGAATGCAGAGCCTGGAATTGCTGAGCTGGGCACTCCACCCCCAACGCTGCTGATGGTTGTGCTGAAAATGTTGACTGGGAAAAGCCTCTTTCCTTTTGCTTTTCAGCAGCTCTGCAGCCCAGAACTGCCAGGAATGGCTTTATCCTGCACGAGGCAATGGATCCTGCTGTATGTGGGCAGGGAAACGGGATCATCAGCAAATCCATTGTCGGGGTTTCGTTCCCAGCTGGGGCTCGGAAAGGGTTTTTTGGCAGGGCCGGTGCCAGTCGCTGAAAGGAAAAAAAATTCCCCCCCAAAGAACCCACCTGGGAGGGAATTCTGCTCTTGGAGCCACATCTATCAGTGCTTTGAGGGTATAAATTGGGATAAAATGAGTAAGAGGCAGCATAAAAAGGCACAGGAGATATTAAATATGTGTTAAATAACGTGCTGGGAGATCGTGGAATCATGGAATGGGTTGGGTTGGGAGCTTAAGGACGATCTTGTTTCACCCCCAGGAACTCCTTCCACTAGCCCAGGTTGCTCCAGGTTCATCCAGGGCTGGGATTTGCCCATCACCACCTCATTATTCTGCAGATCACTGGAGAGGTTAAATTTGAAGCAGTGTAAGATCTGAGTGGTTTTGGCTCTCTGGAGGAAGAGCTTTCACCAAAATGAAGATGTTTTTACCAAAAATGCAATAGACTCTTTAAATGTTCAATTGAAGCC